TTCCGAGATTTTCGGTTCCAGTGGGCGGAGCATACTTGAATATTCATGAATTTCCCGAAAATGCGCGTGGAACTGAGAACACCGGCGAAAATACTTCCAAACGAAGCAAACAATCGCGTCTCCGAGTCGGCAGTGGTGATTCATTTTTGAACGAATCAGTGTTCATGAACGAATCATTCACAAACTCTATTACATTTATCGCCACCTACCGTCGAAATCTGCTAAAAATCCCCACCATTTACAACCTGCATGAACGACACACTGGAAAGTGCTCGACTGAGGACTGAAACTAATTGTTGTATATTACAGAATGAATTTGGTGACTTGTTGCTGCTGAAATAATTTAATCTAAATTACACAACCATCATGTTTATGTTAGTCTAGGCTGTCAGAAACATTTCACTGCCTTGCGCAACTTTCTTGAGAACAACAGGTTTCTGATATATTGTGTTAGCTGTAGTTTGTCAAAGTAATGGGTTCATATCTGCGTCTGTTTTGTTGGCTGGCCTTTGCATAGCCAAACTGTCTTTGAATTATCCAGTGAAAATCCAAGTTCAGAACTGAACCAATTTCTTGGCATGCAGATCACTTTAGTTCTTGAAACAAAAATGTAAAAACCTTACTCTGGTCGGAGTTAAAAATTGTACAAGAGATGAAATACTAAGTCTTTCAAAACATTAATCTATAAGTTCATACAAATACATAGTTTGTCTTTAAGTTTGGCAAGAAAGTACAAACATGAAGGACGAATTTCACATCAACGTGAATGAAGTGGTAGTCAAGTCACACTGAAGTCAGCCAAAAGTCCAGTTTTCCCAGAAAACCATTTATTAAAATATGAATGTGTATATTTTCACAAACTCAGCAACACAGTAAAGTCGATCATAAATGGTTTCACACATTGACCTAACCTTTTCAAATGTACCAAATATCATATTTACCCACATTTCTGCTTGCCAGATTTTTCTGTGACATCCCTTCATTGTTGAACTGTAAGAGCACATGGAATAGCTATAAAACCATGTTAAATAACACAATGATTTCTTGCACATTCTTCAGTAAATATTAAGTATTATTCTCAATTCTAGGCCTGATTTAACAGACGACTTGGCCCTGTTGCTCCCTGTAAAATAGGAACAACCTGCTCTACATTATGGCTTCCTATCTGCAATTAAAGGAAGTTATTTTTGGAGGCTGAATAAGCAAAGATTTCATTGAGAGCAGATGAGAAATATGGCTGACTGGGTCGCTCAGCCCAGGCCATGTCAGAGACATCAGGAGCCTCCTTTGGTCCTGCAGGAGCAATAACCACAGTAGCAAATGAACCGATCCAGGTTCCTCTAGTGCTGTCTAGGGAGCACTCAGTCTATTACAAGCAGATACCTTTTTTAAGCATTGAGAGAAGGTTCAATGAAGACAGAGGGTAGGTCTGTGAGACCGGTCTGACATTCAGAAGGACCGCACAGGTGAAAGGTCATGGGACACGGTTTGGGTGGCATGATGGAATGCTCTCCAAACAGCGCCTCTGGGGTACCATGAGGACATTGAGAAGCAGCAATGGGAACAGTTTCACGGATCATTTTGGGTAGCGTGAAAACATTTATACATAAAAGTATTAACATTATACATAAGAGTCCTTCCTGCTGAAACATCCATTTTAATTTTGTAGATGTGTTTTAAAACATGTAAGCTGCATTCTAGCTGTTCTAAACAGAGCAATGCAGTGATGACATATTTTTGTAGGCCAATCCAGAAGTTAGGATCACCCTGGTTCCCTAAATGAAAAACATAAAAGGTACTGGTTATTAGCTGGTCGACCAGCCACCATGTTCCAAACCTCACAATGTTCTACCAGCTTGGACTAATTAATGAGCTAATGACTAGCTTGGACTAGGTAATGGCTAACTTGAACTAGCTATTGAACTAATGATCAGCTTGGACTAGCTAATGACCTTATTATCAGCTTGGCCTAGCTAATAGGTTAATGACCATCTTGGACTAGCTAATGAGCTTATGACCAGCTTAGAATAGCTAATAAACAAATGACCAGCCTGAAGTAGCTAATAAGCTAATGACCAGCTTGCACTAGCTAATAAGCTAATGACCTGGGGTGTGTTTCCCAAAAGCAACTATGGTCGCAAGTTCCGTCGTTACCAATAGATTTCAATGGAACTAACTACCATAGTTAGCTAACGATACTTTTGGGAAACACACCCCAGCTTGGGTCAGTTAATGAGTTAATGATCAGCTTGGACTTGCTAATAAGCTGAGGACAAGCGTGGACTAGTTAATGAGCTAATGACCAACTTGGACTAGTTAATGAGTTAATGATCAGCTTGGACTAGTTACTAAGCTTTAGACCAGCTTGAACTAGCTAATGAACTAATGTCCAACATGGAGCTAATGGGATAATGACCAGCATGAACTAGTGTTATTGACCAGCTTAAGTTAATGACGAACTTGGACTACTAGATAATGAGATAATGACCAACCTGAACTTACTGAGCTAATGACCAGCTTAGACAGCTAATGAGTTAATGGCCAGCTTGAATTAACTAATGAACAGCTTGAACTAGCTAATGAGATAATGACCAACCTGGACTGAGATAATGACCAGCTTGAACTAACTAATGAGATAATGACCAATCTGGACTAGCTAATGAGTTAATGACCGGCTTGAATTAACTAATGAACAGCTTGAACTAGCTAATGAGATAATGACCAACCTGGACTAGCTAATGAGTTAATGACCGGCTTGAATTAACTAATGAACAGCTTGAACTAGCTAATGAGATAATGACCAACCTGGACTAGCTAATGAGTTAATGACCGGCTTGAATTAACTAATGAACAGCTTGAACTAGCTAATGAGATAATGACCAACCTGGACTAGCTAATGAGTTAATGACCGGCTTGAACCAACCAATGAGCCAATTTCCAACATGGACTAGCTAATGGATTAATGACCAGCTTGAACTAACTAGTGTTACTGACCATCTTAAGTTAATGAACTTGGACTAGCTAATGACCAGCCTGGACTAGTTAATTAAATAATAACTGGCTCGAATTATTTAATGTCCAACATGGAGTAGCTAATGGGTTAATGACCACCTTAAACTAACTGATGTGTTATTGACCAGTTTGAGTTACTGACCAACTTGGACTAGCTAATGACCAGCTTGGAATATGAGGTATTGACAAGCTTAAACTAGCTAATGAGCTAATGGTCAGCTTGGACTAGTTAATGAGCTCATAACCAAACTAAACCAGCTAACCAGGCCAGTTGGTAACCAGTTTCAAAACCCAGCAGGATTTTCCAGGAGGTTTTGTTGTTGTTGTTAGCAAGGTAAAAGCGGTGTAACAGAAAGTTGTGGCTAATGTCAGTGGGTTCTTTGGGACTGATGCTGTGTGACTGCATTGGTCTCTATGTTCGCAGAAACGCTTGGCATGGTTTCATCATCATCCTGGGACCATAAACATAGACGGTTGAGGCAGAGAGACAGAGAGCTCTGACCTCTGGACATTTATCTTCAACTCTGACCAGTCACATCAGAGTCAACAGCCCACCGGGTACCACTGGCACTCCCATAACAAAGACACAAACCTCTCTATGACCATACACAGTCATATCCAGCTACAGTAAATCATGTTGATGAATTAAGTAGATGACAAGATTGTCTGGAAAACTCACAAGGCTTCAGATAAATATGAAATATTTTATGCCAGAACATGATCACCAGTTTGATAGCCATCATACTATTTTATATATAGCTATCTTAAATGTTGCCATAATTATAGTATTTAGATGAAAATTAAATGATATTAATCTGCACCATAATAAGCAAATTTTGGCATCCTCATTGACATGATTTGAACATGTTCAAAACCACACAAAGTTAGCTCCTGGATGTTTGTTTTGAGCTATATCACTCCTAATAGTTACAGTACTGTTCTTTATGTTATAAGATCACATTTGCAAAAGAAAGTGTTCTCAAACTTACCTGTGTGAGTTATCTGTTTTGATAATGTACAGTATGGCTAGAGCTAATGGTTTTCCATTTGTTAAGTCTGCTAACAAAGCAGCATTTACACGTAATGAAATTAAGAAATTATTTCTATATAAGGTCTTGTCATAAATGTAATTCAGTATGGTATGATATCCAGAGCTGGATAGATTGCTTACAACTTGTAGTCCATTACTGATTACAGATTACATGATGAAAACTGTAGTTAGTAATGTAATCTAGGTTACTAATTTTAGATAATGTATTCTGATAATTATTTTTAGATTAATTTTTAATCAAACTTGTTTTCAACCATTAAATGTAAAATGTTGATATAAAAAAGCAAAGAGAAAGAAAATATTCAATTTTTTATATCAGCATCATAAAATGCAAGAAACATTACATTAGTTAGAGTTGATAGTGAGTGAATAGTGAATAAATGTGAATAGTGAGTAGTTGATAAAAAGCTAATAAAGTTATTTGCACAACATTTGTGAATATCAAAGCTCAAATAGTCAAAGCTAATGGTATGACACAGTAGGATTTTTAGAAAGGAAATTTTAAAAGAGAAACAAGATGATTTAGGGAGAATCAATAAATTATGTCTCATTTACTGCAATTCTGTGAATAACATGTAATCATATAATCCATAAAACCGTAACTGTAACCCGATTATGAGCATTTTAAAATAATATTATACTCTAATTTCAAGTACCTAATTTTTGGAATCTGATTACATAATTCAAATGACATGTAATCAATTACTACCCAGTTCTGATGATATATAACTGAATATGACTAACAATGATAAAAAAAAATATGCCTTACTTTGTTCAGAAAAAAATTATGTAAGACGTCACAAAGGAACTGTGAAGCTAAAAATACACATAATCTGTAGTGTTAATATTTAACTTCCATAATGAGATATTTCTTTGAGGGAAAATCTGGACTTAGCATTAGGACTATTTATTCTACTGGATCTTAAAAAAGTATTTCTTCAAAATAATGTAGAGTGATGGTCTACCAATAAAGTAATGCACATTAAGGTCCTAATCATAATAAACAATGCTATTTTTAAAGAAAGAAAAATAGGTCAATTGTGATTTCATTTTGTCTTTAATGCATAGCAAATTTCTAAAGTGGTTCTCATAGTTGTTATGGGAATTTTTGGATGTCATATATTGAAGCATGTCAAAAATGGCCACATACTGTAGCTGAGGATAGATGCCCAGAGGATAGTTGGACTCTATAGAGACGGATGCCAGTGGATATTAGCTAGAGACCTGAGATTCTGTTCTGGACATCAAGTAGCTGTAAACATGGGAAAAACATGCTTTCTCTTGTAGGAAAATCTTCCTTGACCCCCCTTATCAGTCAGACCAGAGACGACCCAATGGGAGTGAGAGGAGAGGGACACTGAGCTCTGAACCCAAACAGAGGAATACAGTGGGATGACGCAGTTTTGACCATAGGAGTATCAGATTTGTAAGTCCTATTTGAAGATATTCTGTCCAAAATATGTATTATGGCCTGTTCTGGAGAATATATATCTTGAAGGTATTTTATATATCTTGAAAAAAAATTATTATATAAACCTCAAAAAAATTGTGTAAGATTGATGGTTAAAATACAAAAAAATTATTTAGCAATAGGTAAAGTAAAATAAGAAAACAAAACAAAAACAAAGAAACAAAAACAAACATTAAAGAAAAACTAAACAAAAACAATTAAACAAAGAAAACATTAAAACAAATAGCAAAACAAAGCAAACAATAAACAAAATGAAACTGTACAATAAAACAAAGCAAACGACAAAACAAAACAAAGAAACACAAACATTAAACAAAAACAAAACAAAAGCATAAAACAAATAAAGAAATAAAACAAACAGCAAAACAAAGCAAACAATAAGCAAAAATGAAATAAAAACAAAGCAAACAATAAAAAATGAAACAAAAACAAAAAAGGAAACAACAAAAACCCACCAAAATAAATAAATAAATAATCAAAATAAGCAACCTTACTTGACTTATTTAATAACAAAATTATTACCATTTAATTCAATACTGATTGGTAATCATATTTATAAATATTTAATAAAGAAAAAAATCTTTTTAAAAATTTACAATATGAAACTTTAAGTTGGTTGCAAAATTATTTAGCAAAAGTAGGCCTAATAAAAAAAATAAAACAAAAACTCAGAATAGTACAAAACTGCTGCTTTTACAAAGTGAATCATAGCAACAGATTTCTGTTTTTTAAATTTTTCTTTCTAAACTGTGTCTAATCAAGGTCATCTCAATTTCACCAGTACTTTTGTTGGCTTGATCTGCAAATTCAGGAGAAGCTTTCTGAAAGCCAATTTTTCTTTCTAATGATGCTCTGGGGGACTCATTTTGGTCACTTGGAATGCATTTTGTTTATTAGTATCCTGTCATGTTCTGCCAAAAAATTACTCTAAAGTTCTCCAAAGTTTACATTATTTGCATTGACTTAAATTATCTCTTAACAGGCAATTAACCTTTAACATGAAATAAAGCCATCCGTTTATGACCGCATGATTGTTTGCACCGTTCTAAAAAGTAGAAATGTGTTTAAATCATCTGTTCAATAGCACAAATGCGATTCTTCCTAGAGCAGTTATGAGTATTCCAGATGTGAGCTGCGCTTTAAGTATTCACCAAGGACATGTCACATTAAATTAACTGCTGGTGGTAAGTCCCGGGGCTTATTTTAATTGAGATGAAATGTCCTTTTATTATGAACAGTAAGACTTCTTTATTTTAGAGGCGAGGCGTTATTGAAAAGCCCGTTTCAGCTATACAGGAATAAATTTAACAGGGGTGCACGCAAGTTCATAGGAAATGAAAGGAATCGAACCGAGTATTTACACTCAAAACAAAATGAATATATATATAAAAATGCATTTTCAGCAGGATATATTGCATGGCTTACATTAAACAATGTAAAACAGCAATAAAACAGATGTGTTAAGGTTCACTTGTCACGTAGTTCACCAGAACAATCGCCAAAACAAGCTTCAGTTCTCAATAGCGAAAAGAAACTAGTGATGACATGATGTGACATGAAAAATGTGTTGCGCAGAAATGCAAGAACAAAACTGCTCAAATGCATAAGTTATATTTATACTAATTCTAGGTTCTAAATTGAATAACTCTGCGCGCTGAAAAGACCGAACACGCAAGTGACCTTCATCCACCAATGGATACCTTCCTTGGGCCAAGTGTGTGGACCTTACACAAGGTACTAGGTTCCAAAACCTAGTGAGCTGCCTACCTGGTACCTACTACAGCCAGCATTTTTTAAAAGATACATTATGTTTCCTTTTAACCCTGAAAATCATTTACCAAACTTGGTGTCCGGGATTAAAAAGAGGAGCAGCCTTTTAAAAATTATTTGTAAATCTCATATTACTTCATATAATTGTATTCAATCTTTGTGTCAGCTTCCAAAAAGAAACACAAAACCTATGCTAATTGAAAGAAAACAAGTTGATAAAAGACTGAATGAAAGAATTGGTGATAATATAGCATAATGAGAGATTTACAAGCTATCTTTTGTAGGCCAGTTATTTCCAAGAACACCACAAGTGTAACAAGTTGGACATGAGGGTTAAGATATCTCGTTTTATGTATCCCTCACAGACAAGGCAATGCTAGCATTACAACGAGTTCAGTGAAAAACAATAATCCAAAATAATCATTCAATACTGAAAAGTTTTGATTAAAAAAAAGTTAAATCCATTTCAAATTTGAGTATTTGACAGATCTTAATATTTGCGTATATGTATTTTTATGCTTAGGTATTGTTAGCGCAGCAACATGCTAAACATCAAACTCTATTGTGTCAATTGTTTCCGCCACTGAATAAAAAATAAAAAAAGGATTGCAACTTTTTATCTCGCAATTCTGACTTTTTTCTCAGAAATTGTGAGATATAAACTCCAATTCTGAGGAGGAAAAAAGACTGATATGTTCTCAATTTAAAGTTTATATCTCAATTCTGAGAAAAAAAAGTCAGAATTATTAGTTTATATCACATAATTCTGAGAAAAAAGTCAGAATTGCCAGATGTAAACTCACAATTGCGAGAAAAAGTTAGAATTGAGAGACAAAAAGTTGTAATTATCTTTTTTATTATTATAATTATTATTCAGTGGCAGAAACAAGCTTCCATAGTTTTTTGTACTTCATGAGTGTGGAGCTGATTCCTGATAAAAGCATTTTAAATCAGTCACTTATGTTCCATGTTGCCTTTGAAGGTGCTTCCTATGTAGGCAGTAGGCAGCACACTGTGTTTTGTCACAGAGCGCATCAATGCTAACTCAAAAACAGGACTGTGATGTCCGCCTGATTTGTTCTGAAATACATTACGTACCAAAGGCTGTCACATGCAAATCTTTGACCCGCCTGGTTATAAACTGACACTGTGAAGGGATGAATTTCATTACAGGTCCATATGTTTCATATACAAACCCTGTTCGGCCCACTACCACAACAGTAGGCTAACAAAGAGGCCTTTATCTGCTGAGGTATTGAATGGATAATCCGAAATCAAATTCAGGATAAAGGTTTGCGTAAACATTATTGATGGTGTATATTACACTAAAAAAGCGGTGCTACTCCCAGTTTATAAATTTGTCCTTAAAATGAACCGATCTATAGCTGTACAGTGGAGTACGTTAGGACAGTGCAGAACTATTGGGAGGATTGTTTTGCTTGAATTTGTGTTGTGGGTGAAAAGGGAGGTTCTGATTCCTGTTTGACTTGTCGAAGGCCAGGCAAAATGTTTATTAGTCTAACAGTTGGGCGTCAGTCTCTCAGGGTGGGGTGCACTTGTTCGATACAGTTTTATATACTATAAACTTTGGCACTTTCATTGCCATCAGCACAATGGTACCAAACAAAGAAAAATGTGAGTATTGCTTGGCTGCGCAAAACTCACGACCCTCATTATAACACATTCTGGGTGGTTGCGAGGGTGTTGCTGTGCAGTTATTAGGGTGAAGTCTGATCAAGTCTGATCACTGAGAACAGAGTTTTTCACACTGTGGGGCCACAAAAGAACAAAACAAAAAACAAAGCAAACAACAAAACAAACAATAAAACAAGGCAAACAAAAACAAAACAAACAACAAAACAAAAAGCAAACAATAAAACAAGGCAAACAAAAACAAAACAAAAAAGCAAAACAAAGTAAACAAAAAAATGAAACAAAACAATAAAACAGAGCAAACAACAAATAACATACAATAAAACAAGGCAAACAACAACAACCAAATTAAAAAAAAAACTTCAAAAAACAAAGCTCACAATAAAACAAAAAGCAAACAATAAAACAAAGCAAACAGAAAAAGAAACAAAACAATAAAACAATGCAATCAACAAAAAAAGCAAACAATAAAACAAGGCAAACAACAACAACAAAACAGCAAAAACAAAAGCAATAAAACAAAGCAAGCAGAAAATTAAACAAAAGGAAAGAAAACAAAATATAAGCAAACAATAAAACAAAGCAAACAAAACATAAATAAACAAATATGAAACAAAACAACAAAATTACAAAACTTACCAAACAAATTACTGGTTGTAAATCACAAGATTTGTTGAAATTAATAAAAATGAATGATTTTCATATAAATAATGAGATTTTTTTATTTAACAAAATTGTCAACTTAATTGTTGATTAATTTACAAAATTGTCAACTTAAAAAGTATTTTCCTAAAAATATTTGACAATTTTAATAATTTCATAATTATATATGATAAATATTATTATTATTATTATTATTATTATTATTATTATTTGTGATATAACAGAGCATAATGCACCACTGATAACTCCAGTATGTGTATGTAAAACATGTCTTAGGGATGTAGAAGACCTCTATAAAATAATCCAGGCTTTCCTGAAGCACTACTGCACTAACAGCCATTTCAAAGTTTATTTTCAGGAGTCTATAGCTCCGCAGACGGAAACCCTGCTTACCTTTCCACTACCCAAAAAATCAGAGACGCCCTTGGGGCAGCCATTATGCAAACCAAAGAGTGCGACCCAAGATCCTCAGCGGTCAGTGGAGGAGCTGGTAAAGATGCCCTATATAGAGCAGCCGAGTCGAACATCATCCGCACATGTGCGCAGAACAGATCCAGCTGGAGGTGAGTGAGGGGGTTTGGTTAAAAACACTTTGTAGGTGTTAACATAATAAACCAGGGCTTATTCTGAGAATAAATGGCAACTGATGTTGTTTAAGAGACTCGCTGAAGGCCTGTGGGCTTCAAAGTCTCCACGCAGCAGCTGAGTAAATACGACGAAGGAAACCAGGGGTCAAAAAATGGGGGAACGAGACGGAGGCATGATGAGAAAGATGGTAAATGCAAATGTGGAGTTATCTATATGAATTACCAGGAATAAACGCATTTAGTAAGATCAAAAGAGTCTGAAAGCATAATTTATTGTAACTGCAGGTAAAAGGACACCAAATTAGTGAAAATATAAAGGCTAACGACAGTTTTAAGTGCCATGAGAGACAAAAACCAGCCGTGGCCCTTAAAACACAATCAGCAGTTAAAACAGTGATGATTACTGAAAAAATATTGCTGCATATGACCCATCACATTCCTAAAAGAACATCTGTATTTCAGTGAGAAACTCCATTTTGTCTTTTTAGCGCTGCTTGAGTGAGCCAGAACAAAAGCCAGAACAAATACTTCAGAGTTTTAACATGCTTCACTAGTCACATACTGTCAGCGCTGCCAGTGATGTAAATGTTGCGCTAATTTGCCAAATTCAACATAAAAGGAAGCCCTGGGGTCTAAATCAAATAAACCCTCATGTGGAGAAAGACCTCACAGCAGATAATCTGGGAAGTATATCTCATGATGTAAAGGATTCAAGCAAAATTACTTGTAGTTCCGGTCTATTTGGGTTTATAAATGGGAACTAAAGAACCGAAGGGCAATCTTGTTGCAGAATGATCAATAAAACCTCACTTGTGCTTGAACTATTACACAAATCCTGGCCAAATTGTTGTTAATTTATTTTGTCCATAGGGATTTAAAAAATGTCTTTGTTAGGCCATGAACCAAACCAACCACTTGAAAATTGCACACAAAAAGACAAAGGTACAAGACTGTGTACTTAACAGCTTTAATGAGTGAAAGAACTACAATCCCATGAACCATTGTCAATATATTCAAAAATATTTACGTGTTCTGAGAGCGTGACCGGGTTGATTATGTTATTTGTGTGGCTTCATGGGAGTGGGCGGAGCTCAGCGCTCATTTGCTCACTGCGACTTAAAGATTGGTGGAATTTTCTTTACAGCATCATGGGTAATATAGTTTTTAAATGGGTCATATGACGTTGCTAAAAAGAACATTATTTTGTGTATTTGGTGTAATGAAATGTGTTTATGCGGTTTACGGTTCAAAAAACACATTATTTTCCAAATACTGTACATTATTGTTTCTCCTCTATGCCTCACCTTTCTGAAACGCGACGATTTTTACAAAGCTCATCGTTCTGAAAAAGCGAGGTGTGCTCTGATTGGCCAGCTATCCAGTGCGTTATGATTGGCCGAATACCTCAAGC